CAATAAATGAGTTTTCATATAATCTTATACCTTGAGCTTAATTTAAGATATAAACACACTAGTGCGGTAATAAAGTTAGTTATGCAAGTTATTATGACATTTCAAGTAGTGTCAAATCATAGTCATTACATGACAGTTGTAGATAAAAAAAAATACCATGTAAAATCTTATTCATTTGGTTTCCATAGCAACCATTATTAGATTTGAAATTTAATTTTTTATAACATACCTAAGTGTAGTACTTACTTTTTTATTAGTTTTAAAGTTGAGTATAAAAAATGTGGCCATATTTAGTACTTACTTAACAAAAACTACTTATCAGAAAATAGTAAAATTTTTATAATCAAAATATTATCACAATTGCGTTAGCACCATAATGGGGCAAAGGTGCCACCATTGACCCATACTATACAGGGTGTTTCTTTTAACTTGAGACAGCTCAATATCTCGAGAAATACGCATTTCACGGAAAAATGTCTTAAATAAAAGGTTAATGTGACTAAAGGGGGCATTATTTGGTGCTATCGCTAGCCACCCCCTACCCCTCCTTAAGGGTGAAACAGGGGGTAACTTTGGAAAGTCAAATGGAATGACTCGATTTTTTTCACAGAGTTTGGTAGTACATAAAAAATAAATAACTTTTATTTAAAACTTTTTTCAATTTATCAACAGATGGCGCTGTAATTCAAAATTTAAAAATGAAGTTTCCTTGTAAAATGTATTATTTGAAACGTTTGAAAAACAAAAATTAACATTAACAACAATAGTCGGCTATGAAAACAATTTATAACAAATGTTAGAAATGTCGTCATTCCATTTCAACACATTTTTGAATGCGGGTAATGAATTCTGGCACACAACGCGCCAACATGTCGGGCGGTATCGCCGCACAGGCGTTCCTGATCCGCTCCACCATGTCCTCCCAAGTTGTAGGAATTGCAGCGTAAACTTTTTCTTTCAAGTAACCCCACTGGAAGAATTCTGGTGGCGTAAGATCAGGTGATCGGGGAGGCCAAATTACTGGACCACGTCTACCGATCCACCGCGGTGCACCGGCCATTGAACTCCCGATCCAACACCTCTCGAGCAATTGCCGAATAATGTGCAGGACAACCATCTTGCTGGTACCACATGTTTTGGAGCCGTGCTAGAGGTACATCCTCCAAAAGGTCCGTCAGATCGTTTTCTAGAAAATTCCGGTACTTTTCGCCATTTAATGCACCGTCAATAAAGAAGGGTCCGATTAATCGTTCGCTTAAGGTACCGCACCAAACGTTTACCGACCAGGGACGCTGGTGCTCCACTTGGTGTCGAAATGGAAGGACGACATTTCGAACATTTGTTATAAATTGTTTTCAGAGCCGACTATTGTTAATTTAATGTTAATTTTTGTTTTTCAAACGTTTCAAATAATACATTTTACAAGGAAACCCCTTTTTCTTAAATTTTGAATTACAGCGCCATCTGTTGATAAATTGAAAAAAACTTTCAAATAAAAGTTATTCATTTTTTTATGTACCACCAAAATCTGTGAAAAAAATCGGGTCATCCCTTTTGACTTTCCAAAGTTACCCCCCGTTTCACCCTTAAGGAGGGGTAGGGGGTGGCTAGCGGTAGCACCAAATAATGTCCCCTTTGGTCACATTAACCTTTTATTTAAGACATTTTTCCGTGAAATGCATATTTCTCGAGATATTGAGCTGTCTCAAGTTAAAAGAAACACCCTGTATATGGATTTTTTTTTAAATTTAACAAACAACTTCCCCATATACATGGTGTACCAAGTATCCTATATATGGATATATATTTTATTGAAGAGCTTTAGGGTCAGATAAATTAGAGAAAAGTTGGCATTTAAAAATTGAAAAAAAATCAGCGGTTCTAAAATAATATGAAAAAAACTTAAAACCTGTTAATCCAAAAATTGTTATAGCTTCTTTAAGTATTTCTGGGAACTAAAGAAAGTTTTTCATATAAACACACTTACCTACATTTTTATGCAATTTGTGAAATCCAACGATGTTTTAAACTACATAAGTTATGGCGGCCATTTTTAAAACAAAAGATGGTTATGATTACTCAAAATTGGAATTGGAATCCAATTATTGGATGAAAATAAAGATTAATGCACTAACTTTTTTAATTCTCACAAATAACGTTATAACGATTTTTGATTTTAAAAGGTTTTTAATTTTTTTAAATATTTTAAAAATCGCTGACTTTTTTCAATTTATAAATTTTATTTTAATGGGCTTGTAATTACGCAAGTTTTTTCTAATTTTACCGATCTTCTAGCTAAAAAAAGATACCCTTAGAAGTATACACTAAAAAGGATACTTGGTGCACCCTGAATATACAGGGGGTTCTAGAAGTCGCGCACCACCTTGAAGGTGTATGTAAAAAATCTACCTTCGTTATTTAAAAAGATACTATCGCTAACAAAAAAAACTCATACAGCTTAAAAATCTAGTGTTCCTGATTTTCTATCATTTCGTTGGAGTAATTATGGCTTTTAACATGATACGTCACATTTGAAAGGTCTAAAATTAAATACAAAGTTAGGTTGAAGTTTGAAAAAAAAAATAATATTTCGTCATCCCTCTGTTTTTGTCAATTACTGCCCGCAAACGGCAAAGCATGGAAGTCGCCGTCTTGCTTTATCTCGTTCCAAATGGCTTCAAGGGCTTGCCAGAGTTCGTCTGCATTGTTTGGTTGAAAATGTTGTTAAAAAAGTCATAATGGATGTGACAAAGCTCGATGTCAGCTTGACATTGACGGAAAAGTTTTATTCACACAGCCACAATATAGCTGTATGAGTTTTTTTTGTTAGCGATAGTACATGGGAATCATATTTTTTTAATTGGCAACTTTGCGGACTAATAAATTGGTAGATTTATTCTTAATCATCATGACCATAGAGACCATGATCATGACAACAAACAACCATATTAAAAAGTGTTAAATTCGTTACTAAGTAACGAATGTCTCTGTCAAGTCCGCCGTAAAATAAATAACCTCCAAGTAAAAGTCTTTTTCTTACTACCTCGGCCGAAAGTACGTTGTTTTGTCCCCGATTCCACGGCAGAAAGTTTACGTTTGATGCATTGGTCAAATTTACGTTTGATGCATTGGAATCGGGGACGAAACAACGTATTTTCGAGTATATTACACTACAAGGGCTACGAAGGCTTCGCTCGTGCCGCAAATGTCGGGGCAGGCATCAATATGTTTCGATATACACATTTAATTCCCGTATTTTCGGCCGGGTTGGGTTGGGTTGTATTTTCGGCCGAGGTAGTAAGAAAAATAGTATACACTACACAGGCAGATTCTATTTAAAACGTCATTAGAAAATTGTGATTAATCCTTTATAAATACCTACTTATTTTTAAAAAATAAAGAAAATAAAATTAAATTTTTAAGCCCTTATAACTTGAAACTGTTTGTTTGAAAATTTTAACATGGTATGTTGGTCCGCCATTTTTTAGACACCTTTATAATATTATTTTAAATTGTTATTTTCTGTAATTTAACATAGGCAATAAATGTTAAAATGTAATCACCATTCCCTTCTCTAAGGTAATCACAGTCATCAGTAGATTTTTTTTAAAGCTTAGGTAATATTTTTAAATTTACCATTTTGTCAATATAAAAGTAAAATCTAAGATCTAAATACTATTAAAATTTAAGCTTTCCCCAATATTTTATGTCCCTTCTGGCCAGCTTCTTTGTAGTCCTAAAAAGATTGTCATATTGGTATTTTTATTAAAGAAAGAAGCTAGTTTTTAAAAAATAGCTGAAAAATCTTGAAAATAATTGAAAATTTTAGAATAAAAGTGGTATAAGAGTACTTTTAAAGTATTTTGAGATATTTGCATTTAAAGTTAAAAAATTAAATAAAACTGTTTAAGGTGTATTCGGTGTATTCATTTTATTGTAAATTTTTAATTTTCAATAAGATTAATACAATTATACTTATAATTTTTATATTCTAAGGCCCTCAATTTATCTTTCCTGTCCATTGGCAAAATTTATTTTTATCGTACTAATGAGAAGTTTTACTGTTTTTAAATAGTAAGTTCATAGAGCCTAGGAAATCACAATTTGTACTACCTATAAATTTATTAGTTCATATTTTTTTTGGGCAAAAGTAAGTACCTATGGGCAGGAGGGACTTTTTTGTTTTTTTCAATATAAAATAATATTGTCTGATTAATTTTAAGTCTAGTTTTCAAAAATTATAAGATTCAAGATACAAAAAAAAACAAAAAAAGTACTACCGTAAACACGGGTGGCTTTGCACCCCGCGGGTGACTTTAACCCTTTTATGAAAAATCTTTTCACACTCGATAAAATTAACATTTATAATTTGTTGGTCTAAACCTGTCAATTGAGCGATTCTATTGAGTTTCAGGAAAATCAGTGTTTTAAAGAAATAAATGGGATTTAAAACACTTTAAAATTGTATATATTGCATCAGTGCAAAACTCTTAGAAATACACGCGTTATAATTTCTATATTATTCGCAATCCTTTGGAATGATGATCCCTGGTTAGCTACAGGTCGATTTTTTTTATCGGTAATCCCTTGCAATAGTTATATGTCGCTGTTAACATGTGTCTAATAAAAATAAAATAAAATATTGAGTTAATTTTATACGAAAAATTACCCGCAACCAGGGGGTAACTTTACACACCCAGTTTTTAATTTTTATTTTTGAAACTCAGCCCTATGTTATATTATAACATAGTTATAGTTATAGTAGCAACTCAAGACTCAAATTTTGGTATACAATATTTAATGTTTATGATTGTTAAAACCACAAAAATTTTAAGCTTAAGTTTGAAAGTGAGCTAAAGCCACCCGTGTTTACGGTATCTAAAAATGCTGAAATTTAAAAATAAAACAAAATACCCATATACAAAAAAAACAAATCAGAATCAGTTAAATAAGCTGATTTGATCAACTTGTGCATACAAATATTGATTTCTTAATTTTAGGGAAGCCAACTCAGAAGAGACCTCCAGGCGCACCTAGAGCACGTAAAGTTCGTCTTGGAATGCCTAGAGGTGGTGGTAGGGGGGCTAAGCATTTTCGACAGTTTGACAGGTTTGATTTTGATATGTCTTCATGTATAACACCATCACCTGGTGATGAGATCCCCATGTTGGACCCTGAAACTGGTGCATTAATTTTTACTGATAGGGAAAAACCTCTACCAACCCTGGAGTATTTGCCCTATGCACCAGAACAGTGGCCAGGAAAAGTATGTGCCTTTTGCAACTTGGGGGAGAAAAGCCAATTGGGACAAGGAGAAATGTTGAGGTTAAATTGTCCAGAAGGCTTTACTCCCCAAAGGGTGGCATCAGATCAAAATGGAAATCAAAGCCATTCCCATCAGTTACCTGAAAAAGATTCTGGCGATAAGAGTCCAAGGGGACCGGTCACTTGTCGAAGGCAAAAGAGCTTTAATAAATGTAGACATCCATCACTTACAAGCGAGTATGTTGATGAATTAACTATAATCGGGTACAATGAGGAACCTGAAGTTAATTTACTCTTTGAATCCAATGGGCACTTTTATGTCCATAGAAGTTGTGCTTTATGGTCCAAGGGTGTTAAAAAGAATGGTTTGTATACTTTTTTTATTATAAGACATGCGCAATAGTATCTACCTACATTTTAAAAGGAATATTTCTAATAAAATTGACATTCATTTATTATTTTTAATAGCTACTAAACATTAAATTACCTTTATTAGTGTTTATATTCAAAGTCACCTAAATTAAGCAATACATTGCTTTAACACATTTATTTTACTCTACTTTACAAAGAATAATAAATAAATTAAAATATATTTATACTAAAACAATCCCTTTATAATTATTACAGAAAATGCAACATTAGACAATGTTGGATCAGTAGTTTTAGAAAGCTCATCCAGAAAGTGTTCATTCTGCAATCATTTCGGAGCAAGTGTTGCATGTAAAATGCAAGGTTGCAACAAATTTTACCATTATCCATGCGCCACGGCGTCCGGTGCCTTTCAAGAACTGCCAACATTAACAGTATTCTGCAATAACCATGTTGGTCAGGCTGCTTTAGTCTGTGAATGTAAGTGCCCAAATAATTATTTTTATATAAAGAGAAAAATGTACTTTAAAAGTTATAAAAAATATTCTTTTTCTTTCAGCTTCAGTGTGTTATACTTGTAAAGTGCTAGGCGACATCGCAAACTTGATGTACTGTTCAAGTTGTGGTGAACATTACCATGGTATATGTGTTGGTTTGGCTCAACATCCAGGTATGAAACTAAAATTATAAATATTGTCAATTAATCAAAATTTTCAAAATTTATTGTTTAAAAGATTCGATTTAATAAATATTAAACTGAATTTTAAAACTACTATTACATCAGTACTTTTAAATGTTAAAAATAATTTACCTTTATTGATTCAAAAAGTTTATCTTTATTTCTGTTGTAAGGGGCATAAAGCTTATTTGCATTAATTAAGGAAATTTATTTTTGGTTATATTTCCTGAATTCTTCATTCTCTTCATTTGAAGAGTTTTATAAATAAATAGCAGTAGGCCATAACAGGCTTTCACTGACTTGTGGTGCCAATGTAGTAAAAATAAACGTATTAATAAGGAACAACATACATTGTTAATTTGTTATTTTAATGGCAAAGTTAGGATTTAAAACTTTTATATTTTTGTGTTTCTTAAATTGGCAGCAGAAAATTTAAAAAAGTTCTAAAAATTGTTTTTTGGGATTTCCATAAAAAATATACTGTAATAATCAATTTTTAAGCAATTAAAATAATCCTCTTTAGTTTCTCGAGTTTAAAGAAACAATTTTTGAGTGTTATTTCCCACAGATTTCCCATAGAAAATTTCAAAAATTCGTTTTTTAACTCGAAAAACAAGGATTATGTTAATGGCGTAAAAATTGATTATTTAATAATTTTTTTATAGAATTCTCCTGAGCAAGGAACAAAGTAAAAAATGAAAACATATAGAATTCTCCTGAGCAAGGAACAAAGTAAAAAATGAAAACATGTAGCTTTAAAAATTATTTGTGCTGTAAAAAAATCTGAAATTAACTGTGAATGTGTTGATGACTCAAAAAATCATATATTAAATTTTAAAGACATTCTATGGAAACTCTTCAAATGGAGATACTGCCTAAGTTCTAAAACGTTTTAAGGCTCTACTAAAACATTGCCTTTTTTTACTTATGCCTTACCCACAGATTTGATATTGTTTTTTAGGAGTTCGAGCGGGCTGGCAATGCAGAAAATGTCGAATATGTCAGGTATGTCGAATTACAGGCGACGAATCAAAATTGATGACTTGCGAACAGTGCGACAAAGTTTACCACGCGGGCTGTCAACGTCCCATTGTCACCTCCATACCCAAGTATGGGTGGAAATGTCGAGTAAGTTTTATTTTATTAAAACCAAAGTTATGACATAATATGCAAAATTGCATTACTGTTTTCTGTGACTTCACTGCAGTAACTGTAGTCCAGTAACAGTAAATGATTTTATATAGAGAACCCAATACTTTTATACCAGTTGAAATTTTATATTTTTTATTATTTCCCTCATTATAATATGAACCAATCAAAAGCCTTGAATTTTCGAATAAATTTCGTTTAAATAAGCGATTAAATCACTAGAACTATTTAACAGCGATTAAATTTTAGCCTCCATATTGGATTTTTGTTTACGATTTTATGGTGTTATTTGCAAGTTTTAACAAACATTTTGTAAAAAACAATAAAAAATAAGTTATCTAGTTTACGAAATATCAATTATTACTTATTACATACCTTAAATTAATGGAATTTTCTTTAAAAAAATATTTATAAATTTTGACACATACGTCAGATTTTATGAATTGTCAAATATTTCCTTTAATTCGAGAAATAATCTAGACGTATATCACTCAACCTATACATTTAATCTGTCAAACTATGGAAAATAGTTTCATGCAAAATAATTAAAAATAAAACCCCTCGACCGCTACGCGGTCTCGTGATTTTATTAAATTATTTTGCATTCAACATTTTCCAACAAAAACCAAACAAAAAACTACTGAGCCTAGTTTAACAGATTAAATTCATAGTTCTCGTGATATAATATATGATTAAAAGAGCTTTAATTAATTATATTCTGGTTTGATCCGAACAACCCCCAAGACGCTATGCCCCGCCAACTTAAAAAAACACCTAACGTTTTTTTAATATCAATAAAGAAAACAATTTATAACAAAGACAAGTGTCGCCACCTAGAGTGGCTTAAAGATACTATAGTTGCATACAAACCAAGGTTGAACCAAAATACTTAATACTTAAATACCGACCCAAGGAAAATTGGAGATTTCCGTTAGAAATCATCGTTTTACAGCCTAGCTGCACGGGTTTAGTTTTAGTACTGTTATGTTTTTGTTTTCAGCAAAACAATGTTTCTTACACGAGATGAATTTAATACGCACGACAAAGCAAACTACAGCCTCTATGTCGCAACTATTTCCGAGGAATACCCTTTTCTTACGAATATGTATAATAAATAGCAGATCGCTTTATTATCGATGCGTAAACAGTCATACTGCGTACAATAATATTTTTATAAACAATATTAAAACTTACAATAATAGGACCTCATATTAGCCGGTCAATAAAGAAAAAACAATGTTTCTGAATGTTTTAGTAAAAAAACAAACCGCTAGGTTATTTTCTAAAAAAAAACAATATTATAGAAAACGTTTTTTTTCAGTTTACATCACTACTTAAATATAAAAATATATAAATTTAAAAAACCCAAGTATTTTTTTGGAAAATGGTTTTCTTCTTTTTTACCCCTTTTTCGCTATTTTTGTAATAAATATTTCTCTTAAAATATTGTAGATTTTGAAATTTTCCATAAAATGACCATTTGAAGGGTTCAATGCAAGAAGTGCCTTAGTCACAAATAGGTGATTCTGAAATATTGAAGGTTTATTTTTGATTATGAAATATTACACAAAATATTATAATGAAAATGTGTGTTGTATTGTATTCTTTGTGTTAAGTAGATTGGACTTCCATGATTAAAAAAGAAAAAACGTTTTGTTATATCAAAAAAAATAAAAAATAATTTGGCACTTCCATGATTAAAAAAGAAAAAACGTTTTGTTATATCAAAAAAAATAAAATAAAATAATTTGGGAATTAGGACTTCCATGATTAAAAAAGAAAAAAACGTTTTGTTGTATCAAAAAAAATAAATAAAATAATTTGGGACTTAGGCACTGTTTGTGTTGAAATGTTTTTATTTTGTCAAAAATTAAGGGATATTTTGAGTAAAAATTTGTTTATACTTAAAAAAAGGTTTATTATATTATAACGCCGTAAAAAAATATATAAATTGTGAACAAAACTTAAGACTAAGACATAACTTCGTACACAACTTAAAGCAAAACTAAGAATATAATAAGAAGGCTGGCTATTCATAAACAGCGTCGGCCTCTTGTAATTGATCAATTTCTTTATCAATGACATCATTTTGCTGGATTATACCCTATATTATACCATTTTCAGACAAGGTTCGAGCAAAAAAAAACGGTAACTGGTATGTTTTAAGGTTCCACAATTTATTTTATTTTACTTTACTTACCTGCCATAGTTATGTTTTTAATCACAGACACAAATTATTAGGATTTACACAGTTTAATAGGTAAGTTGCTAAGATATAACCAAATTTAAATAACGTGGACTAAGGCACATGTTGCATTGCATCTGTGAAAATGATGACTTAGGTACTTCTTGCATTGAAGTAAATGCAAACTAAGGCACTTAGACGCATATTTCTGCCACTCTGCAAATACCACTTGAAAGCTTAAGTGAAACACTTTAAGATAGCGCCACAATGACAATTTTATTGAAAATGTGACTTAGGCACTTCTTGCAATGACCCCTTCATTTACTTTAGGTAAATTGGTCCAGTGTAGGCTGGACATTACAACATTTTAACGTTTTTTGAAAAAAACATTTTAACCCTTTTTGGACTTATAATTAGTTGGTCACAAATTAAAGTTATTTTAAAATATGTCTATTAAAAGCGCAATTTAATAGGTAATAAAACTTTGTAATTTACTTACTTTTTTATTAATGAATGGTTGAGTGAATAAATAAAAATTGCTCTTGACGCTCCCGCGAAACAGCTCACTACTTCGAGCGTGGATTGTCCAGTCTCCCACTGGACCAATTTACTTAAGTTAAATAGTCATAGTCATAGGAAATTTAAAACTACAGACAAAAGACAATTTTCTAAAAAAGACATCACGAAGGGAGAAAGTAAATTTTTTAAAAAGTTGTTATTTTGCATATATTCATAAAACAACGCATCAGTGAGCAATATAACTTTAATAAAAAATGAAGCTCTTAAAATTGACAGTATTTTAAAAGTTCGTAAGTTATAAAAACAAAAAATTAGGGTTGTTCGCATCAAATCGAAAAACATAATATATACCTATTATTCAATTAATGTCCTTTAAATTAAAAAAAAAATACAATTTTAAACGTTATAAAAGTAGGTACTGGCCTACTGTGCCAGGTTTTCTAGTTATGCAATAAAGTGGGTCGAATATCCGCTTTTTTCGAAATTAATTTTGCAATAGTAAAAATGTTAAGGTTAAAATAAACATTATATACAAAAGGAAAAAGGTCAACATCTTAGGCTTACCAATTCCACTTAAAACTTTAAGTAAAAAAATATATTTTTAGAAGTATTTTTTTTTGTAAATTTTCTTACTAAACTTATTTCTTTACAAAAAGGTCCTTATTTATTAATTATCTCATAAATATTGTGGTTTCAGAGATAATTTAGGTAATTGCGATTTTATATTAAAATTTTTATTTTTATAACTGAAATTATTATAATTAAATTTACCAACAAACTAAATTAAAAATGTAGTTTAAAAATTTATATATATTTTCTTTTACTTTCAATTTTAAGTGCCATTGGCGAGCCTAAGATGTCAACTAAACATGTTTTCCCTTCTCACATAATTTTTTTGATTAATATTTTTGCTACTACCAAATTAAGTTTGCATTCTGCAATGATGGACCAAAAAATTTTTTTTCCTGTGCAGCTTGATGTTTTAATAAATCAAAGTTTACCTAATAAAAATAATTGAACATATTTTATTTCTTTTCTTTAATTTTTAGTGCTGCAGAGTTTGTGGAGATTGTGGTTCCCGTACACCTGGTGCTGGTTTGTCGTCCCGTTGGCACGCACATTACACAGTTTGCGATTCCTGTTATCAGCAAAGAAATAAAGGGTTTTCCTGCCCTTTATGTCGCCGTGCCTATAGGGCTCATGCCCATCGGGAAATGGTTCAGTGTACAATGTGCAGAAAGTAAGTGAAATTTTGCATTAAAGCATGCACATTTCGACAACATTGCAAACAAAAGCAAGCTATAATTTCTTTTGGACATGCACCTTTTTAGCCTCTTCTTGTATTTCCTTTGCAATATTACCAAAATGATTGTCTAAATATGGTTATTAAATGGAAAAAGAGTATCTGTAATTTTATGAGTTCAAAAAAAAGTTGTTCTCATCTCAATAAGACTGATGAGCTTTTATGGAATTAAAACACATAAAAATATTTATTTTTTAAACATCCCATATAAATAAATAGTTTTTAAATCCAATAATACAAAAAATCTAATTCAAAAACTACCCCTTGAAACACAGCTGACACAAATTTTGATCAAAATTTATACAAACCTTTTGCTAATTTGCAATATAGAAACAAGCAAACTATTTCATTAAAAAAAGGAAAAAAAAAATAGTGCAACAATGTATTTAGTTCATCTAACCGAAATGGAGTATTTTTGAGAGCGAAAATTCCGGTACAGGTAATAATTAAACCTTTGTCTCGTGGGTGAGCCAGGATCTTAACCACTAGACCATACAGGATAATATTATAATTTATTTTAAACAAAGCTCTTTATTAAGGTTTTGTAAGTAGCTTAGCAGAGCTTGAAGTGCCTGAGCACAATTCAGCGCGCGAGGCCGTTACCGAAACCACAGTGGCACACCGCAAGGATGATGCATATTACCTTAATGTACAATAAATTGTATAATAACAAATTTAAAGGTTAATAAGATATATTTCTCGTTGTAATAATATTTTAACGAGAATAGTACATTCTGTAACAAGTTTGGAATACAGCATATTCCGCTCGAGGAAAAATTTGACACACGAGCCGAAGGCGAGTGTGACGGTTTTACGAGAGTGGAATATGCTATTCCAAACGTGTTTCAGACATTATTTTCTCTACGACTACGTAAGAATAGTAACGCTTATATAATTTTAAACAGAGAAAAGAAACCAAGCAGTTTTTGACATTTAAGTTTTTTGTATTGTCAAACCATTTTGGGCCGTCACAATTTTATAATGTAAATTATAATAAATTTAAACAAATGGTATGCCTTAATCTTTATTATAATTAAAAATAGTTATTTACACAACTAATTTTACAAGTAATCTATGTCAACATCTATTCTTTTTCTACATTTTAAAGGTCTTTTTTTAAACTTTTTGAATCTGTCAAAACTTCAAAGCCGGTATAGTAGGTAACTGGTTTATCATTTTAATATCAAATTTATTATAATTTTGATTTGTATATTTGAAAAACAATAAATATAACTAATTTTTTGTGCCTAAGCCTTAATTATACAACTGCTATTATTTTTTAATTAATAAATAATACAGTAATATTTAAATATTTTAAAAAATTTTACGTTTAGTAAACAGCCAGGAGATGTCGTTACTTGTGACCATTCTTAAACAAGAGTAGGAATATTCTCGCACAGTATTGCAGAAAAACATCCTTTCTATGATCAAAAATTATACTAGAATATTACTATTCTTCAGTAGTCGTAGAGAAATATATTTTATGAACCTTTGAATTCATTATTTTACTTCATTTATTGTACATAATATGTGAAAAATAAATGAAATTTACATATTTTTGTGAAAATATTTTGGAGGAATTTGCACAAAAATTGTGCAAATTTTAAATGCAAACTTTGAGCGTAAATGTGGACACCGCCTTGAACAAATTTTTTGCAAATGGCACGCAACCAGCGCCGGACCATAAAATTTTGCGCCCCTGGTCTAATAAAAAAAATTTGCCCCTACCTATCTAATAAATTCAAAGAAATTTCACAACAAAAGCATTTTATTTAACCATAGACATTAGGGTTGTAGTATTTTTTTGCCATTTTTTTGATTTTGGAGATCAAATAAAAAAAAATAAGTTAAGAAAATTCTTGAGCGATTTCTAAAACCTTTTTTTTAAATCTTTGGTTACTCACTATTTTTTTTGTAGGACGTAATACAATTTTAAGTCAAAATAGTATAGTTCAAATTAAAGTGGTGAAATTTATAATTTGCTATAATTTATCGACAAATTTAAAATTTTATATAAAAAATCGAAATATTACAGATTTTATACCATGTTAAAATCGTATAAAATCTGTAATATTTGGATTTTTTAAATAAAATTTTAAATTTGGCGATAAATTATAGTAGATTATAAGTAGCACCACTTTAATTTGAATTATCTCAAATAGGGGGGCCAGGAGGCGGGTAAGGCGACAAGAAAAACTAACTTTTTTCGTAAACTTCAATTTAAATTCTGTTTGCACCGTCTATTTAATGTCATTATAAACTATTATTATAAATTTGGTGTGAGTCCCATGTCTAATAACTGAGATATTGGTATACTCAAAATCCACCAGCCGCCACTGGGTAAACTCATGTTTACTAATTAGTGTACTAGTTTAATACAACAGACTAAATGGAAAAACATTAAAATAGAAATGCGCATGTCATTATTACCTGATTTTACTGGTGCCACAATCTGTTAATGAAATTATGAATGTCAGTTGTAAAGCATTAGCTAGATTGTTAAATAAAATAATAATTATCCAAAGGTATAATTTTTAATTGCCTAATACCTTAACTGTATAGTTTTAAACTAATTTAAACTAATAGTTGATGGTATTGTAAAAAAATATTCTTATGTTAAAAAACCTTTACGCCCACATCGGTGGAAATAATCAATTTCTGCAAAGTAGTATATGTACTATGCATAGATAATGGCTACAATTAGGGTTGTTATTTTTGTTATTAAAACTGATTAATACCATAATTATTATTATTACACGAAAAAAGAAGTAAAAAAGCTCTTTTGGTTGTAGTGAAAAAAAAATTTACGAGTTAAAAATTGTACGCCCCTGAATTTCTTAAAAAGCTTGCGCCCCGGGTCTATAGACCAAACCCCCCCTACATCCGACGCTGATTTCATCGCGTTTGCATTAAGTTTGCATGTCGAGTACTTGTCATTTGACCTAAAAAAAAATTGGCAACAGAATTTCAGTTGGCAAATGACCAGTCACATTTACAATATGACCGTCACTTATAATGATGTATCTTTATTTTTTTAAATAAAAGCTTGCATCAAGAGCTTTTTAATGGTACGAAAAACTTGTGCTTTAGTAATTAATTTGATTTTTTGATTTTTTCAATACCCTATAAACAGGTTATAAAAACGCCGTGACTAGAAGTACACCGGGAGTACGGGCATTAAACGTACATCAGGTTTGTGTCATGCGTGTTTCCATACCAGCTGATGGTAAAATTTCGGATTTATTAGTTGAGATTAAATTGGTACACTATGTTGTATTAACATTGATTAAAATTTATTTAAGTGATTGAAATACAATTAACAACAAAATTAATGAAATGTCAGTATGAATTACCCAAACCAACCCAATCTCAACAACCCAACCCAACCGACCCCGCCCCATTGAGCGCGAAATTGAGCGACCATTTAATATTATACAATTGACAAATATAAAAATTTGCTAAATAAGGATTTTTTTCCACCCGGTGTACGTTTAATGCCCGTACTCCCGGTGTACTTCTAGTCACTTTGTTATAAAAAATCACAGTACCACTTGAGTTCGAAGGCTGTAAGTTTGATACCGAAACGTTATCGTTCGACAATGCATAGCTGATGACGTTACGGTATCAAACTTATAACATTCGAAGTCTGCCATTGGTTACCATATTTGTTTGTTTTTTCTATGCTTCTAAATAAAATTCTTATGTATTCTAAAATTACATTGAAATTGTAATTTAAAATTTATACATTTACATACTTATACAAATAGGAACGTTAATTACTTGCCATTAATCCTTAATTAAGGGGTTTCAATTTAAAACTAAACCCGATTTTATGACTACCGAACGCCTAGACCAGGTCTTGGGATTTAAGCCGAATTCCCTTGCCTTCGAAATTTAAAATAAATACACTTATGATCGTGATTGTCATTTATGGGCACTTATAAAAGTGGCGCCAACTCTTCTGGGAATTGTATAACTAATGAGTAGACATGTTGATTTCCAATAGGTGATGCGCTCCAAGAAAAGGGACCTAAGCTATAAAAAATTAAAATTGCTTTTATAAAAGCAAATTAGAAAATATCTTTATATATATATATAAAGATATTTTCTAATTAAGCCATATTAGCAAAATTTAAGTACTTGGTGCAAATTATTATAAAAGTTGTATTCATATAGGTCACATAATTATTTTTGGACCAATCAAGTTGGGTTATTCTCCAAATCAACATTTGTCAAACAGGTTTAACCTTACTTTTACCTACTTCTTATTTATAAATAAAAAATATATAAAGTTTTAAAAACTTAGTTTTTATTGCCTTTTAAGTACAGTACATAAAATACTAGATTTACAAAAGGCCATCAACTGGGGCTCTTTAGACTATTACAAAATACTATAAGTGATATAAAAAAAATTAATAAACAAAAAATTATTTTGAAATATAATTAGAGAATTATTGTAGAATTCATTGTTTCCTCCGGGAATTTGGTGGTATTTTCGTCTAGTGATGCATAATTGTGTGGGAGGATTGTGGAGAGAAATTTTTGTGACAGCAGAGTATGGAGATTATTCTTAGGGCTGTTGTTTCTGCAGTTGCAATATTATTTAGAGCTGGTTTTTGACAGTTTAATAATACTGGGTGGCAGTATTCCAGAAGAAGGCGGCAAATGGGTTTGTAATGATAGCTGCCGTTTTCATATTTGGTTTTTGTAGGTAATTTTCATAAGCGTAGGAAAAGTATAGTCTAAAACACTTTGGAATTGCATATTTTGGCTTGTGTGACATACTTTTTACTCGTGCGGAATATTTTATTTATTACAGAATATACTAATAAAAATAGAATTTAATTTTAAAATCCTTACGACTTAAAAAATACCCATAAAAATATATTTTTTTAAAATAATTAATTATAATACAGGAGAACCTTTATAAGTTAAGG